TGGGGACAAAGCTTGCAATGTCTTCAGCATACCACCCCCAGACTGACGGACAGACAGAGCGACTCAATCAAGTGGCTGAACAGTTTCTACGCACAGCTTGCAAGGACGACGTTAGCCACTGGGACACACAGTTACCGACCCTAGAGTTCGCTTAAAACAACGCCTCACATGCGGCCACGGGGAAAACTCCTTTCATCCTGTGTTATGGACGGGAACCACTCACACCACAGCAGCCAACCACACCGGCACACGTCCAAGCCGCACATGACTTCGTCACCACCATGTAGCAGCTATGGGAGAAGACTCAGCGACGACTCACCACGATGCATACCTCCCTGAAGCAGTATGCCGATCGTCAGCGACGTGATCACTAAGTAGCCTCGTGTTGTACCCAGGTGATTCATTCAATTCGATTCAATTCTCATTCTCTTTTCTGAGCGCGATCCTAGATCCTCACAATTGCCATTGCCATTGACATTGCCATTGCCATTGTCGTTGCTGTTGCCATTGCCATTGCCATTTGCATTGCCATTGCCACTGCCATTGCCGTTGCGGTTGCCATTGCCTTTGCCGTTGCCGTTGCCATTGCCATTGCCATTCGCTCTTACGCGGAGGCGATAGAGGGTCCCTACTCCTCTTAGTGGTAGGCAGCTATGGACGCAGCGATGGCTTCCTGGAAGTCCACAAGCACCTACGTTGACGAGGTTCCCCCGCCTGGGGCAAACATCGTCAGTGGCATGTGGATTTTCAGGGTGAAGCGGCCGCCGGGTTCTCCGCCTGTCCTCAAGGCGCGTTACGCGGCTCGTGGCTTCAGTCAGCAGCAGGTAGTTGATTACTTTCAAACCTTCTCTCCCACCCCGAAGATGACCACTCTATGGGTACTGCTGCACACAGCTGCTCACCGTGACTACGAGCTACACTCTCTTGACTTCAGCACTGCTTTCTTGCAGGGCAGCCTGCACGAGGAGATCTGGCTGCGCCGCCCACTTGGCTTCACTTGGACTTTTCCTCCTGGCACCTAGTGGAGCCTCCGGCGGCCAGTCTACGGTCTGCGCCAGGCACCATGTGAGTGGCACGACACACTGAGAACTACGCTTGCAGCTCTTGGGTTTGCTCCATCTACTGCCGACCCGTCGCTGTTTCTGCGCACCGACACTTCTTTGCCGCCGTTCTACATCCTCGTGTACGTCGACGACTTAGTCTTTGCCACAGCTGACACTGCTGGACTCGCCCACGTGAAGTCTGAGCTGCAGAAGAGACACACGTGCACAGACCTGGGCGAACTGCGCAGCTACCTTGGCTTTCAGATCACCCAGGACAGAGCACGCCGCACCATTACCCTGACTCAGTCACACATGGTGCAGCAGGTCCTTCAGCGCTCCATTGCCGTTGCGGTTGCCATTGCCGTTGCCATTGCTGTTGCCATTGCCATTGCCAATGTCATTGCCATTGCCATTGCCATTGCCGTTGCCATTGCCATTGCCATTGCCATTGACATTGCCATTGCCATTGCCATTGCCGTTGCCATTGCCATTGCCATTGCCATTTCCATTGACATTGCCGTTGCCGTTGCCATTGCCGTTGCCATTGCCATTTCCGTTGCCATTGCCGTTGCCATTGCCATTGCCGTTGCCATTGCCGTTGCCATTGCTGTTGCCATTGCCATTGCCATTGCCGTTGTCATTGCCATTGCCGCCGCTGTTGCCATTGCCATTGCCATTGCCATTGCCATTGCCGTTGCCATTGCCGTTGCCATTGCCATTGCCATTGCCGTTGCCGTTGCCATTGCCATTGCCATTGCCATTGCCATTGCTGTTGCCATTGCCGTTGCCGTTGCCATTGCCATTGCCATTGCCGTTGCGGTTGCCATTGCCGTTGTCGTTGCCATTGCCATTGCCGTTGCCATTGCCATTGCCGTTGCCGTTGCCATTGCCGTTGCGGTTGCCATTGCCGTTGCCATTGCGGTTGCCGTTGCCGTTGCCGTTGCCATTGCCATTGCCCGGTAGCTACTTGGCCAACAACAATCTGAGTGGCAGTCTGCCGGATGCCATCAGCCAACAGGAGAATCTCGAACAGATGTGAGCGTGCTATGTGCCTTCCTCCTTTCCATTTTTCGAGAATAGTGGTAGCTTAAGAAGCAAGCACAGGCATCACAAGCACAAGCTTGTAATGAATCGTTACCACAAGAGATCTAGCAACTTCCACACCATGAAATAAACACATGAGACCAAAACACGCAAGCATCACCTGCGCCATCCCCACTCCACCCCCTTCTCTTTATGCAACTGTTGCCGCCTTTGATCCTGCCAATGCTCTTCTTGTCACCACAGCTGGTTGGACAACAACAAGATTGAAGGCCCTCTGCCAACTGGCCTGTGCTCACTTCGCTGGCTGTGGCGCCCGTGAGTGGCAGTCATACACTTATTATTTGTTTTGTTTTTTAGAATTTTATCTGCCGGGATTTACTTCTCTCCTGCTTCCTTTATTTTGGAGATTGTTAGAATGTCTTAGGTAGTTTCGCTTTTGTGTGTTTCCCTTTTCTGTATGGGTGTGTGTCTTACGATGCGGCATGGTATGTGCTGTGCTGCTGGCAGCATGGTTAGCAACAACTACCTCTACGGACCTCTGCTAGACTACCTCTTTGAGAAGTGCATCAACGAAATGTGAGCCAACCATGCATACTCTATTCTCAGTACCATCCATGACATCTCGCACCCTCAACATAGGCATTGCACGAACTTCATTATCTGACTTAGGTTTGCCTCAATATCAGCTCCGACCAAACACTCAATATCATCTTCTACCCTCCGTGATTCCTCTATGCTTCCCGCAGTGATGTGAGTGGCAACAGCCTGTATGGGCGCATCAACCGCGACTTTGAGAACATAATGGTGACTGGCAATGCGCTCATCAACCTGGCTCGCCACTTCTTCTTTGGTGACGGGGCGCTCTTTGCTGCGGGCTGAAAGGTCTGCCCCACCGAGGTCAACGAGCTAAACAACAACGGCATGTGGGACACCACTGCATGGCGAATCTATGGTGGCAAGTGCGGCAATGTCGCTCAAGGCTTTTCCGTGGTGGAGCCAAGCAAGAGGGCAAGGGTGGCCCTGTCAGGCAACTGCCTGACGCTCACCCCGAACAAGAAGTGTGTGTCCAACGCCACCCAGCGCAGCACGGCAGCCTGCCAGGCATTCTGCAGCATCACTGCCATCTGCCCGTGTGACGGCCACGGGGCATGTGTGCCGCTTGCCCCCGCCTCCCCCACCAACTTCACGTGCCTCTGCGATGCGGGGTACACCACTGTTGACTCGGGCAACGGCTCCTCCACATGCGCCATCGTGCACTCCACCACCTACACCACCACTGGTAACCCTTGCTTCATTCTTACAGCTCCACAGCACTGCCTCATTGCTATATTCTGCAACAATAACCACGTTTCATGAGGCTTCTGCGATACACACGTTTATCACCGCCCCGTGTCCATTCCTCGGCTGTGTCATCTCTGTCTACGGGTGCCATAGTAACAATTGTTCTAGGCGGCTTTGCTGGCTTCACGCTGCTAGCTGCAGTGCTCGCATGGATGCTGTGGCCCCACGGACCAAGTGAGCCCCTCAACCCTTCTTCAGTTCCATTCCATCTCCCCCATTGCTGCACCTATTTCCTGCGGAGATAACTGCAGCAACGGGAGCTAGGCTACGGGCTAGGCACGTGTGCTCGTGTGATCTCTGCGTTCTCTGTTCCTTAGTCGTTTTCCTTGTGCACACACTACTTGCTAGTTCACGGGGAAAATTGGCAAGAGTTTCACTAGGAAAAAGTCAGAACAATTGGTACAATGAAGTTGGCATAGCAAGACTACATCAGAGCAAGCATTCAGGTCGGCCAACTGCCAGCGCAGCTTGGTCGACCGCGTTCCAGCACGACTTGGTCGACCGCACTCCAGCAAGGCAAGGTCGACGGCGTGCCAACGTCCCAGGTCGACAGCGTGCCAACGTCGCAGGTCGACGGCGTGCCAGCGTTGCTCACGCAGGACAGCAGTGCACCCGCTTCGCAGGTGTGCGTAGCTGATTGGCGTGCAGAGTCCCGTCACCTGCACAGCGCACACTCCACGTCAACCTCGAGCTGACGACTGCCTCTGGTCCGCCACGACGACCTCGGGATACCACCACCGAGGTCGTGCTCGCCAACTTCGCCTGGGCGACCGTCGCACTCCTCCGCAGCACTTCGTCACCCAGGTAACCTGGTCGACCAGGCAACCACGTCGACCAGCAGCTCCCGTACGTGCCTGTCGACCTCCCAAGTCGACGACCACCTCCATGTCGACCTCACCAGGTCGACGACACCATCGGTCGACCTCCTCTAGGTCGACATCCCCTGTGGTCGACCAGCTCCACGTCGTCGGCCGACCACCCACGTCGGCCACCCGAAGCTGGCGTCACGAAGTTGACGCCCCGCTACTCGACGCCCAACTGCTCGGCGTCCTGAGTCAAGGTCGACGTCGGCCCCTCCTTCGTCGACCAGTAGGTCCAGTCGACCACTTAACAGGTCGACCAGCAGTCCGTTAGCCGACTGCCAAAGTCGGCTTCCCCAAGTTGACGTCACCAAGTTGACGTCCTCCGCAAGTCGACACCCAAGTCGACCTCCCTGAAGTCGGCGCCACCCTGAAGTCGGCGCCCGTGCAGTGGTCCCCCGTGCAGGTCGACCTCCTCGTCGACCAGCTCACCCACTGCTGCAGGTCGGCTGCTCCCCTCACACCCGACCACGAAGTCGGCTCCGCCCAAGCGAGGACGGGGCCAATACACAACTCCCGTTGACAGTTCCTGCCTTCCTTCCTGCTCCCCACCTCTCCCAAATCCGTGCACTAAAAATCTGCCCCTCCACTGCCTTCATGCCCTCTCCCTCGTGTACACCTTCAGTTCCCTCACTCCTCTTGTCTGGCGCATTGTGTGCGCACAGAGAAATGGGAGGGTTTGGATGTGTGTGAGCAGTTCTCGCTGCAGTAGATGCTGAGTGCCACCAACAACTGGTCCGAGGACAACGTGCTGGGCAAGGGTGGCTTTGGCGTTGTCTACAAAGGCCGCTCGCCACAGGGCCAGCTGTGGGCCATCAAGCGATCCACCATCATGACCAACGACTTTGAAACGGAGGTCAGGCACCATCATCAAGCGTCTAATCCACTGCATTTCGCCTTGCGAGAATACGTTACTCTACGTTTTCCAAATCGCTTACCTGCAATTCATAGCTTGCCTGTCTATGCCCATGGCTATCTTCCTGCATTGCGCTCCATGCCCATGTTGCAGGTACGAGCCATGGCGTCTCTCCACCACACACACCTTGTGTGCCTGCTGGGCTTTTGCCTGGACCAGAACATGGAGACGGCCAAGCAGAAGTAGATCCTCGTTTACGAGTTCATGGCCAACAGGGACCTACAGTAACACATCCATGCCACCGATAGTGAGTTGCACTACCACATCCATGCCACCGATAGTGAGTTGCACTACCACATCCATGCCACTGATAGTGAGTTGCACTACCACATCCATGCCACCGATAGTGAGTTGCACTAGCATGACGGCAAAATGGTTGCCAGTCATTTGCTTTTCCTGCAGAGGCACTCGTACATTTATGTGCTGTGTTCGGTATTCGTGTTTCATGACCCAGATCCGCTCTCGCTACGCCAGAGGTTGCGCCTTGCACAGGGAGCAGCAGAGGGCCTGGCATACCTGCATAGGTTTGACACTCCCATCGTTCACCGCGACATTAAGCCAGCGAACATCCTTGTGACTGCCGACATGCAAGCCAAGGTGGCTGACTTTGGGCTGCTCAAGCGCCTCACTCACGCTGATGCTGATGCCACTCGGGTGGCCAGCACTCCGGGCTATGTGGATCCGGACTACAACCGCACAAACCTCATCACGGCCAAGAGTGATGTGTTCAGGTCAGCATGCAAGCTTGTTCCTTTGTACAGCATGTTATACTTGTGCAGCCTTGTTGATTTTTTTTTTTCCAGGTTATGTTCAATAGTTGTACCCTGTGCCTCTCCATTTTCTGCCATGTTTGTTCCTATTTCTCCAATGCATGATTCCTGGCAGCTTTGGAATTGTGCTCCTTGAGTTGTTGAGTGGAAAGCCACCCCGAGTCGACACAAAAACGCATATAACTCATATAAGCTTATGGGTATGCTCGTCAAGTTTATTAATTTGCAATAAAACAAAAATACGAAAAAAGCTGCGATAACTCAAATCCGTGACTGACCTCATTATTCCATGGCCTTGCATTCTCCTTATTTCCCTTGCATGTTACTTTTCACGACCTTTCGTTGCTCTCATGCTGCCTTCCATCACCTGTCATGCTTATCATGTTGCTTAGTACTGCCTCTCCCATCATCACCCTTCCTTGCGGGCATGCCCTCCAGGCAATAAAGCTGGTGGAGGCGTATGAGCTAGAGGGGCTGAGGGACAGCAAGATGTCGGCGGCAAGGAGGCGATAGTGGACTTTGCAGACCTGGCTCTGGACTACATCAAGTCTCCCGGCACACGACGACCCACCATGAAGGATGTGGCATACCGCCTCAGTGCCCTCATTGCCAAGCACTGCCCCGACAAGGAGGACGAGTGGGAGAGTGGTGCGAAGGAAGAGAGTCCAAGCAGCGACGGTATGTCTTCAAGGGATGTTTCTGTTGTTTCTTCAAGGGAGCGTGAGAGGTCTGATGGCTCACAGTCTGGTGTGAGCTCATTCATGCACATTGGCTCGATAGGTGATGGCTTCAGGGGTTGGCTGCATTTGAAGCCAGCCAAAGGGCGTTAAGTTTGCCACACAGTGACAGCATGTGGGCGGTGCATAGCATGGAGCTAGAAGTTCAGAATGTGAATAACAGTACTGCCAGACAGTAGAGTGTTACGTGGTAGCGATACAAAAGTTTATTAGTTCTCGGAAACTTTGATGCAATTACCAATTACGGTACCATTATAAAGTACGGTAAATGGGAGACGCAAGAAGCACACAAGGAATCTACACTCTCAGGTGACAAATGCAGGCACATACCATACAGTACTGGTAAAAGATGCGGAAAGATTTTGGCAAACACCATGCATGAGGTGAGAGCAAGCCATACCAGTACCTACGTTCATTGAGTGATATTGGAGTGCTGCAAAGGAGAATGGCAAAACATGACAATTAAAGATTAAGGACGGAGTCTATGAAAATTAGGCGTCGAAATAACACAGAAACGCTGGTCTCAATTTCTTGACAGAATCGTCGACTTCACAAGAAACGTCGTCGACGAGAAATTCACCGTTAGAATTGTCAAGATAGCAAGCAGAAGTGAATGAACTAGATGAAAGTTGGGTACAAGTATAAAACACTAGAGGGGCTATACCCCACATTTGCTACCCCACTACAGCCTACAAATATACAACACATATATAATTTGACACATCCCCATAGGCAAAGTGGGGGAGAGCAAGGGGTCACAAGACCAGTCAAGTAAAGCAAAGCAAGCAAGGGTGTATCACAACGTCACCACACACACTGAGCACAAGCAAAGGGCCACAAGGCCAGTTCACATGCAGAGGTATATATGCAGCAATAACAGTACAGTGATCACTACCTAGAAAAAGCAAGCATCTAGGTATATATATAGATCACAGTACAAGCAAAGTCCACAGCAAGTACAAAACATAGGCACAAGGCCTAACAAAGTATAAAAGCGCTGATGATCACCAGATGGAAGTGCCTTGGTAAATATATCAGCAGTGTTGGCCCGAGTGGCCACGTGAGCAAGACGTAGCTGACCTCGCTGCTGCAACTCTCGAGCCAGGAAGTAACGCAGAGCGATGTGCTTCATTTTGTGCTCCAGTCTGTGCTCCTCACACAAGGCAATGGCCGCCTTCTTGTCGACGTACAGCACTAGAGGAGAACGAGGCCGCTCTCCCAAGTCCATCAGCAGGTAGGTGAGCCAGCGTAACTCCTGTGAAGCCATGGCTGTGGCGTAGATCTCAGCATCACAACTGGAGCTGAGAACAGAAGACGAGCGTGTAGAACGCCAAGAAACTGAACAAGAGCCAAGGCTGAAGGTGTAACCCTGTGACGACCGCTGCGTAGCCTGGTCGTCAACCCAAGAAGCGTCTGAGTGCCCAGTGAGGACAACGTTGCCCCGTCCTCCAAGCACGAGCCCCATGCCCCATGTGCTGCACAAGTAGCGAAGTACCCTCTTGACAGCATCCATGTGCACCTTTCGGTGCCGGCCAGGAGCCACGTAGCGAGCCAGAAGGCCAAGAGGGTATGCAAGGCCAGGACGAGTTCAGGTCATCAGGTACATGAGGCAACCCACTAGCTCTGGGTAAGGACCACTCGGCTCTACGGACTCGTCTAAAGGTGGAGCTGAGAGCGAGTGACTTGTTGCCAGAGAAGTGGACTGTGCCAAGGACCAGGTGAAGCCGAAGCGCTGAAGGACCTGCTGTACCATGTGTGACTGAGTTAGTGTGATGGTGTGGCGTGCTCTGTCCCAGGTGATCTGCAAGCCAAGGTAGCTGCGCAGCTCACCCAGGTCTGTGCACGTGTGTTTCTTCTTCAGCTCTGACTTCACCAGGGCGAGAGCCTCAATTTCAGCAGTGGCAAAGACCAAGTCGTCGACGTACACGAGGATGTAGAACGGCGGCAGCGAAGTGTTGGCGTGCAGAAACAGCCACGGGTCAGCAGTCGAAGAAGCAAACCCAAGAGCCGCAAGTGTAGTCCTTAGTGTGTCGTGCCACTCATGAGGCGCCTGGCGGAGACCGTAGACTGGCCGCGAGAGGCTCCACTGGGTACCGGGAGGAAACGACCCAGTGAAGCCAGGTGGGCGGCGTAGCCAGATCTCCTCGTGCAGGCTGCCTTGTAAGAAGGCTGTGCAGAAGTCAAGAGAGTGAAGCTCGTAGTCACGGTGAGCGGCAACGTGCAGCAGCACCCAAAGAGTGGTCATCTTCGGGGTGGGGGAAAAGGTCTGAAAGAAGTCGACACCCTTCCGCTGACTGAAGCCTCGAGCAACGTAACAAGCCTTGAAGACAGGCGGAGAACCCGGCGGCCGCTTCACCCTGAAAATCCACATGCCATCGACGATGTTCGCCCCGGGAGGGGGAACCTCATCGATGTACGTGCCTGTGGACTTCCAAGATGCCATCTCTGCATCCATGGCTGTCTGCCACTGAGATGAGTAGGGACCCGTAATCGCCTCAACGTAAGAGCGCGGGGTTGGGATGTCAGGTGCATCCGGGTCTCCCTCAGGGGCAAGCAGCATGGCCACGAGATGAGGCGCAGTCGCTGCAAGACATTCAAGGTCCTCCTGCCTGTCCTCAAGGACGTCCGTGCCAAGAGCACACTCACCCCCGACAAACGGAGGACAGACAGACTCAGACTCAGCAACAAGACTGGTGGCGTAGTCAAGATGATAGGCATCAGCAAAGTCAACAAGCTCAGTGACTAAGGCACACGCAGCAGCAGACTCAAACGGCGGGTCAGTCATAACAGTGGCTAATAGACGCGTGACAGTAGGGTGTGCGGCATGAAACCGGTCAGACTCAGGGTCCGGAACGTCAGGCAGAGAAGACGCAGGAGGGAACGGCAGGGGAACACGCTGTGGAGCAGTGGAAGGACGAAGGGCCATGAGGTGCGTGCCAAAGACGGTGAAGGTGGAAAACCCGAAGGGGTCGCCAAGCGTGGTGAGCAGCGGAGGGGGGACCGCAGGGCCTCCAACTCCAGGGTCGATAGCACTAGCTCCAGGGCCTCCAACCCCATTACCTCCGGCACCAGCACCCCCAGCAGCAGGACCTCTAGTCCCAGCAGCACGACCCATAGGAACGCCGGCTGACTCAGCACCCCCCGACCCGGCACCCTCCAGCCCAGCACCCTCAGGCTCCGCACTCGTAGGCTCAGCACCCTCAGGCTCCAAACCTCCCAGCACCTCACGCACAGGCTCAACACCCCCAGACAAAACACCCCGAGTAGCACCACCCCCAGCAGCACCAGAGTCAACAGTAGCCGGCTGCAGAGGCGGCGAAGAAGGTCACGGCGGGAAACCCGTAGCGGTCTCCAAGCGTGGTGTGCGGCAGTAGGCCGCCGGGGCATCAGCAGCAACGTCACCCCCCTCAGCTAGGCCAGAGGTGTCGGAAGTGACCTCCAGAGGCTCAGCCAAAGGGAGTGGGTCTACCTGAGACACACCTGAAGGAGCGGGACCCTGAGGGGGGAGGGGGTCTACCGAAGGGGGACCTGGAGCGAGAAAAAGCGGCGGGGGAGGAAGAGGGGCAGTGCAGTAGGGGAAGAGACGGTAGAAAGGAAGCGACTCGTCAAAGGTGACGTCCTGAAAAGGGAAGATACGGCGAGAGGTGGGGTGGTAAAACTGCCAGCCAGACGCGTCAGGGACAAAGCCAAGGAAGACAAAGGGAATGGTGTGGGAGGAGAGCTTGTCCGCAGACGTATCGCGGACAAGGGCACGAGCACCCCAGACTCGGAAACGCGACGCATCGCCAACCTCTTGATGGAAAGCGAGCGAATCTGGAGAGCGTACAAGAGATTAAGTCCGCCGACTTCTACGGAACATTGCGTGCAGCTCACGTAATCTTAAACTATGAGCAGGTACGCGTTAGAAAGGTCTTAATCTCTACTCTCCAGAATGGTAACGCACGCTTTCACCAAAGATCTAGGCCGATCGCTATCGCGATCTAAGTGCAACGGTGTATCCTGGCGGAATTACTAGGCAGCCATGGATTAGTTCAAGAAAGTGGCTTTAGCAAGAGTTCAGATCTGAAAAGTGACGAGTTGTTCAAACCCTACCAACCCAACCCTCGCCCTACAACAATCCCCAACAACCCAAAGTGCTAAACTAGCAACACCAAAGGTGTTGTAGTGAATAGCAAAGGTTTGTTGGTGCTTGTTGGGTGCGAGATCAATACCAGCCCGCAACAAGTCTAACCACCACATTTTGCCCAAACCCTTAGCCCACAACCAGCTAGAGCAAAATACCACAACCACCTACACAATCAACACTCCCCCTTGCTCGTGGTGGAGGTGGCTGAACACCACTGGGCAAAATCCTTCACTTCACTCCCCCTTGCCCAGGGAAGGGAGCCATCCACAGCATGAGGTTGTTAATGCAGAGAAGCACCAGTCCTCCCACATCCTGCTCAGGCACCATGCTGACATGGGGCTGCATCCCCATCAAGGACATGCACACACCATGCCGCTCAAAAAGGAGGGGTTTGGTGAGTATATCTGCTGCTTGACAGTTGGTGGGGCACGTTTGATGAGTCAGTTCCCTTTTTCCGTCTCTTCCCCTACCGCACTGCCCCTCTCATCCCCCCCCCCCCCCCCCCCCCCCCTCGCCGCTCTTCCTCGCACCAGGTCCTTCTCCGATAGACGCCCTCCCCCTTCAGGGTCCGGCTCCCTCAAGTGTGTCTCAGGTAGACCCACTCCCCCTGGCTGAGCCTGTCGAGGTAGCTGTCGACTCTAGTGCTGCTGGGAGGGTGCTGCTAGGGGTGCTGCTAGGGGTGCAGCGTCTGGGGGTGCTGAGCCTGAGTGCTGAGCATGGGGTTGCTGAGCCTAAGAGTGCTGATCTTGAGCGTGCAGAGCCTGGGGTTGCTGAGCCCTGGGGTTGCTGAGTCTGAGGGTGCAGAGCCTGGGGGTGATGAGCCTGAGTGTGCGGAGCCAGGGGGTTCTGAGTCTAGGGGTGTTGAGCCTAGAGGTACTGTGTTTGTTAGAGTTCCTATGGGTGCCTCGTCACGGCGGGAGCCTCTCTCCACTTCAGCTGCGCGAGAGGTTTGCTCGGCGCACCCGCC